GAAAAAGGCATTTCCACATCAACTATTAAGTAATTAATAATTACTAGCAGGATATGGAAATGCGAGGAAATAGACATTTTGATGCGAATGGGCAAGATAGAGGAAGCATATAAAACAGTAAAAAGGTTCTTTTGAGTACGTACACACAAAGGTGGAGCAATAGAAAATAAAGAAGGAAGATAATTTATGAACAGGAACAGATTGTAAATAGATGGAAAGAATACATAGAAGCACTATACAATGAAAAAGAACTGGTTGTTACAGACTTAGAAAAGATAAATGACAATGAGCAAGATGAAGAATATGTAGAATATCCGGTATTAAGATAAGAATTTGACAAAGCATTAAGAGACTTAAAACCAAAGAAAGCACCGGGAATAGGTGGGATCCAAATCGAACTTTGGAAGGAAGCAGGAGAAAATATACTGAATGAATTATTTAAACTCATTAGAGATATTTACAGAACGGCTGATATACCTACCGACCTACACTTGTAAAGAGTGTAATTATTCCTATACCAAAAAAGACATCAGGTATAAAATGAGAACAATATCGAACCATTAGCTTGCTATCGCACGCCTCAAAAATTCTAACAACAATTATGTATAAAAGAATGGAAAGGAAAATAGAAGACACATTATCAGAGGACCAATTTGGATTTAGAAAAATATTTGCACGAGGGAAGCGATATTGGCTTTAAGATTAGTAGTGGAGAAAAGAATAAGGAAAGATAAGTCAACGTTTATTGCCTTTGTTGATATTGAGAAAGCATTCGACAACGTTAACTGGGAAATAATGTTTAAAATGATGAAAAGAGCAGGAATTGCAACCAAGGAAAGAAAACTGCTCTACCAACTGTATAAAAATTATAAAAAGAATATGCCAAAGCTAAATGGACATTTAATAAGAAAAGAAATATTTTTACTTCAAAAAGCATTGACCTCAATATCAGGAAGAATCTACTAAAAACGTATAATGTTATATGGATGTGAAACATGGACTATTGCAAGAGAAGAAATGAGAAGAACAGAGGCATTCGAAATGTGGTGTTACAGGAGGATGCAAAAGATAAGTTGGACTGATAGAATCACTAATGATGAAATTTTAGAAAAGGCATCGGAGAGAAAATCAATGTGGAAGAGTATACAGAAAAGGCGAAACGAATTAATTGGTCATATTTTAAGACACGATGGGCTGCTATTACTAATCTTAGAAGGTGAAATCGACGGAAAAAACCATAGGGGAAGACCAAGATTGCAATACATAAGTCAGATAATGGAAGATCAAGGATGTAACTCATACCAAGAATTGGAGAGAAAAGCTAGTGATAGAGAAGCATGGAAATTGCTGCAAACAAATCATTAGATTGAATACTGCAGAGAGAGAGATGGAAATGCGTTACTATTGCTAGGTTTTTGTTAAATATGCGAGCAGTATATCAACAGTTAGGAAATTAACCTGTAGTGGACCACGGGACCTCGTGGGGCGTTTATTTAACTTTAAATTATCAAAAAAACTGTTTACCGTGGTACGATTTTCATATATTCTGTACTATAATACATTAATACACATGTTTATAGCATTAATAATGACAAAAATGATTATTAAAACCAAGAGACACAATTTGAAAACAAACATACGAAAAATCCCTGTTTGACAACATACTTGGGTTTTACCTCTTATTCACCTCTTTTGAGACAAAATGTAGCCTATCTTCTTTCCTGAGGTCTAATCTATCTCTGTATCAATTTTCATCGCAATCGGATGAACGGGTTAGGAATACATAAAGGACATCTGTAGATAGTCATTAGTCAGAACATTTTTTGTATTTTATAAGTATAGATTAATATCCATAATTGTATTAATTAATTTTAAGTATTATATTTGTATTAGTTATAAATATACATTCATTTATAATTATTTTTTTGAGGAAGTTTTATTAATTATTTTTAAACATTTTTTGATATTCGTTTAAATCAATTATTTTTAATCTAGAAAATTTGGATACTGAAATATTTTTTGATCAATTGATTTGCTAAATGATTTATAAACAGATGTGCCAAAGTGATGGGGGAGTGGTGCTTCATGAATCTAATTATAAATTTGTGACTTGGTACTTGATTTGGAACATTGTATTTTCAAGTTTTTTGACAGTGCGATCATTTTTAGTATTTTAATTATGATAAATAGCCCACACAACAATTGCCAATCATAAATGTCTAATTTTGGCTGGACATTAATTGTTTACAATTAAATAATTATACAACCATGATTTAACATTTTATTTCTTAAAACATTAATTCAAATATTTTTTATTATTTATAATATATTAAAAAATAAGTTATTAAAATTTCATTTATATTTAATAAGAAAAAATTTTTAAAAATTAGTTATAATTAAATGTTAAGAAATATGTCTAAATAAAACACAGACAATTCAATGAAAATTAAACCTTATAAAAAATTATCTAAAATAAAATATATGAATCGATCTTTAGAAACTAATAATATCTAATAAAACTTAATAAACACGTATATTGTTATGAATTTCATCTGCAGTTAATATATACAATTGATGCCTGTACCTAATATAGTAATAATATTATTATATATTATGTACAATATACTATATATATACTTAATTATTGTGTATAAAACTTTATATAAATATATATTGATTTATTTTCATGTACCTACTCAAGCAGCAAAGAAATGGTTTTGAAACATTTTAAAAAATATATGAAAAATATTATTTTATTTTATTAAAAATGTTTTTTAAATGTCTTAATGTCCGCCCTTACATTACTTTTAAAATGTGTAGTTAACATTTTAAATACGTTGTCAATACGTTTTGTTTTAAGTCAAAAAATATTTTTAAAAAAATTATTAATATTTTTGTCATAAAAAAAAATTTATTTTTATTGTTCTTAATACATTTTTAAAATGTTTTTATTTATGTCATTAATCTTTAACTTATTATATAAAATGTGTATAAATTTACTAGACTTTGTTAGCAAACTTTAACTAACTAAGGATCGGTAGCAGTTAAAATAAAGCTCGGGTCAGGATTCTGGTATCTAGGTATAATATTTACAACGAAGTGTGTGTGGTATTCGGAGATGCGTTGTTCAGTACATATTACTGTATATGTGTGTGCACTCCGTATCTCAATTTTTCTATTTTTACGACTACGATAAGACTTGAACGGGGAATACTTTTATATTATTATTTCATGTTATTTTAGCATTACTTTATCAGTTGTTCGCGTACACAATTGTTTTATAACCAATATTGTAATAAAGTATTAAAGTATTTGAATGATAATTATTTTTATTTATATATTTATACGATGACGCCCAATGGCGTCAAACAGCGTCTGGCTAAAAAATTATTCAATGACGCTGATGACGCCAATAGGCGTCATAAAAAAAAACACGTAAATTTGACCAGCACCGGGGAATGGGTATACAAAAATCAAGCCGCAGCGAACGTGTTAATTACGAGTTACGACACTATATCAAAAGGAACGTATTCGCAAACAATATTATACAAACGGTTATACTAAAAAAACATATTACGGTATTAAACTTGGATTAACGGTCGCCGGGGACGCGGGACAAAAACGGTGTACCCGGTCGCTACGAATATCAAAAAAACATGACTGTTGCCGGACGTGCCGCCGTCGCGGTTGTCCGTGTTGAGGTTGTGCACGAGGCGCAGTGTGACCAGTTCAGGGCACACAGTGCCTCGGCCCTTACAATATACATAATAACTCGCCTTGAATATGATAAAGTTATCAAAAAAACATTTGTCGCTAACAACTTGAATCCATAATTTTTTAAAGGGGGTATTTTAATTTTATATTTAAATTACCTAGTGTGTAAAGCTGGTTACACACCACGCGTTTTAAACGCTAGCGTACGCGTTTTAAAAACGTGGCATTCAAAACGCTCGCGTCAGGTTAGTTACACACTATGCGTTTAGACGCTAGCGTACGCATTTTGACAACTTACTTTTGACACGCGGGAATGGCACACTCTCTCCTGTGGCACAACCTCGTTGTCCAATATACTGTCATTTGGTATTTAAACATACTCGTGTAAACATCGTACAACGTTTTTGTTACTTTTGTTAAATAATTTGTTTTAAAATGGCGTTAAACGGATTAGATATAAATACACTAGATGATGTGGAAGCAGCTTGCTTAGTTTACGCTTTGTATAAAAGAATGCAACAACGTAAGGAGAGAAAAAAAATAGTAACTAATCGTCGATGGTAGGTGCACCCACTAAACCTTAAAAGGCCTCAGGAAGGTCAATTTGAAGTTACTTTTCCTGTATTGAGGCAGTATCCAGAAGAATTCTTCAAATATTTTCGTATGTCCATTCCATCATTTGATAACTTGGTAACTTTAAAATATTTCAATAATTCATATAAGTTAAGAAACATTTTAATTCATATACATTTTATCAATTGTATTACTATAGTTAACTACTATCGGAGAACATGTAAGAAAACAAAATACAGTGTTCCGCCTTTCAATTCCTCCAGAAGAAAGATTAGCCGCTACATTAAGGTAGGTAAATTATATATTATACAAAACAATACTTTTTAATATCAATAAAAACAGAGTATAATGGTGTAATATAAAAATGATAATAATAACATAGTCTTGAAATGAAAAAAAAATCAAATACCTTTTCAACTTCCCGTTGTGTTACTAATACAATATCAATATTAAGTATAATACAGTATATTTATGTAAAATGAAATGATAATAATATAGAATTACAATGAAAAAAAAAATCAAATACCTTTTCAACTTCCCGTTGTGTTACTAATACAATATCAATATTAATTAAAATGAAAATATATAAGATTGCCCGTTAAATTAAAATAACTAATAGGTAATAGCAATAGTTTTATGATTACTTTTTTATAACAACTAGTTTAAAAAAAAACATTATATTATGTAAATGAGATACTGGAATATAATGTTTATTATATTGAGTCGGATGTTGTATCTTGGGAAAAGTGCGAAGAATTAGAATTTTGTGTTTCCGATAGACATGGAGAGTTATAATTAGAATTATAATAATCCATATGTGGAGTTGAAGATATTGGTCTTTGAGAATAGACAGGGCTTGATATTTGATGATTATTATACTGAGTATGTAGTGGTAGTTGTACTATAGGATGAGTAGGGCCTAATGAGTAGGGCTGAGGCTGAATAAATGTATTATTTTGATTATGAGGTGTTAATGATGGAATTTGATTTCTTTGAAAAGAAAATTGATGTTGAGAAGTGTTTTTAATTTTTTGTATTGCATTCAAAAATTCAATGTACAGTTGAGTCTTTTGATCGCTAGTGAAATCTTTAATAAGAGGTGTTAAAGATAGTAAAAACAACTTATCAGGATCTTCTACCTCTTTTGGACGATTTTTTAAAAAATTTATAAGATCAACTTCTGTGGCTTCTTTAATCTCGTTTACCTGAGATTTTTTTGATCTCTTTATTTTTTTCACTTCCTGTGTATGAGAAAAACTTTCTTTCAACAAGCTTTCTTCATTTATATCTTGCCCTACCACGAATATTTCATCTGCTTCACTTTCAACTTCGTCTTCCTCTGATTCACTCATTATGTTACTTTGAGTTCTAAGTTTTGACAAATTATGAAAATAAGTAGGTATATTAAGTGGAAAATAATATAACTTGACATAATTACTTTCTATTTTCTATCGTCGGTCGAAGAAACTCCAAAACTTTTGCATATACATATGGCTTTTCGTTAGTGGCGGCCTGACCCGACTTATTTGTACATTTCCTTCTGTAGTTGTCTTTTAAATTTTTCCATTTTTTTTTCATTACAGAAACTATGAGTATACAAAATATATTACTTAAAAAAATGAAAAAAAATTATAGTTCAACTTAGAAATTTAACAATAAAGTTCTCCTTTTTTTTAGGTATTTAGCAACGGGAACTAATTTTTCGGCACTCCACTTTGACTTTTTAATGGGTGTATCGACAATACGCAATATTATAAAAGAGACTTGTGGCATATTATGGGATATTTTATACCCCATGGAAATGGCTCCTCCAACCATGGAAGAATGGCGTGACATAGCTGCAGGTTTTTATGAAAACAGTAGTTTCCCAAATACAGTGGGCGCAGTAGATGGCAAACACATTAGGCTACAATGTCCTAAAAAAAGCGGAAGTTTGTACTATAATTATAAACATTTTTTTTCAATTATATTGTTAGCCGTTTGTGATTCAAATTATTGTCTCCGCGTAATCGATATCGGCTCGTATGGAAAAGAGAGTGATTGTAATATTTTAAAACGTTCGACTTTCGGGAAACAATTATATTCTGGCAAAGTCAATTTTCCTCCAGATAACCAATTGCCTGGAGACGAAAATGGTGACCCACAGCCATTCGTTTTAGTGGGAGATGAGGCTTTTGCCCTATGTAAAAATTTATTAAGGCCATTTCCCGGCAGAAGCTTAAATGACCGGAGACGTATTTTTAATTATCGGCTATAGAGAGCTAGACAATACATTGAATGCACGTTTGGTATACTGACAAACAAATGGAGGGTCCTTCATACTAGCTTATTGGTAGAACCTGAGTTTGCAGTACTAATAACAAAAGCTTGCTGCGTATTGCATAATTATGTCCGGCGAAAAGATAGTTTCAATATCGAAGACACGTTAAATTGCACGTTACAATCCATAAATGAAAAAAAAGGAGTTGGTAATTCGTCAAGCGACGCTAAAAATGTAAGGGAGTATTTTGTAAACTATGTAAATAATCCTAACCATTCCTTAGCTTGGCAAAATAGAGTGATTGCTTAATTTATTTAATTTAATAAACATTTATATAATATATATCTAAAATATACCTGGCAATTATAGTATTTTAAGCTATAACTTAATAATATAAAAAATAATATAATAACCAAGTTTGGTTTTTTATGTAGGCATTACAAAATAAATATATTTATATTATTTATGTACTTATAACTATCAGTATTTAATAATAATAATTATAATTATAAATATAATCATTATTATTATTATTATTATATTTTATAACTTAGTTATATTTATTTGTGTTTAATTGATTTTTTGTCTCAACTAAAACTAGTTTTAAATTGCATCTTCTTTCTGTACATAAATAGTTTTTAAATTTGTAAAAAAAATATTATGCTGTATAATTTAAAACAATCATATATGTTAAGTAACTATAATATACATTGTGAATTTCGTTTCTTTCAAACTTAAAATAAAATATACATACAAATTATAAGTTGATATTATTAATCATTACCCAATAAAACTTTTTTGTAGGTTGAAAATTAAGCTGTGTATAACTATGTATAGTTGAAAATGTACAAAATACAGGTTAGGTTACGTGTTTTATGGTTGTAATAAACTCATGATAAGCTGTCTTAATTTTCTAGTTACCTACTAGGTATTCATTTGTCTTTATAATATAATAATAGGAAAATTAAAACATCTTCAAAGCATAAAGTTTTATGGTTAAAAAATAATCTGTGCGAAAAAGGTATTATTACTTATTGTAGGCAATTCACCCATATCATATTTAATAAAAATATAAATGATAAGATCTTATTACTTAATAATAAAATTATTCATTATTAGTCCATAACAATAATAATTGTGTTCTAAACCTGAATCAAACCTTTTTTTTGTGTAAGTTAATAACGCAGCCATAAAACATACCTATAATATTTTACTTACTTTTGGCTTGTTTTTCTTTTTCTGTCAAATCATCAAAATTCTCAATCAGTGCTTTTCCCACAACTGTCCAGCCAACGTGTATTTTATTTCTGTCATGATATGACGCAAACTCTATGATGAATATAGTGATATATTTTATTATAATATATATGGATATGTAATGCATCACTTTAAAAAAATTAAATTCTTTATTAAATTTATTTCTTTATTAAATTCTTACTTGTATTCCACAATTCTTCATTTTTATTTATTTCTAGTATAAAATCTTCAGTGTTATACATTTTACCAACGGACTACTAACTTTGTTGTCTACGTCTGGACGTCTGGAAGTCTGGTAACCAAATAAACCGATTATAAATAAAAACACTGCAAAACGCGACGTCGTAAACGCCCAGTGTGAATAACAATATAGGAAATACCATGTTTAATTTTAGATTTTGCCGCGTCCAAAACGCTTGAAATTAAACCAGCGCGTTTCGAAGCGTTCGGACGCGTTCGGACGCGCGGTTTTTTCCCTGGTGTGAACATGGTCATATATTGATGTGTGTTTGATTTTTGGCGTTCGAACGCTGCGTCTAAAACGCTCTAAAACGCTGCGTCGAAAACGCTAGGTGTGTAACCAGCTTAAACATTGCATGGTTAGGTTAGGCGTTCTACTCCATTTAATGTGGTCATCAATCTTCGAATTAGAATAATATCAAATATAAAATAGAATTATACCTATATATCTGACAACATAGAGTTAATAGAAATCAGAAGTGTATAATCTGCATAGTAGATGTTTGTTGTACATTATTTTGGAAGGGGGAGGGGTCAACACCCAAAACACCCTCCTTAAAGTGCTGTTAAAATATACATATTATTTTGTAAAATGGATTTAGGAAAATAAACAAAACCAATTACTCTGTTATTTGTGTAAAAACATTCATACCTATATTAGATTGCAAAGGCAATAAAATAAATGTAATAATAAAACATTATGTTTTATGAATTATAATATATTATTATTGTCTTCAAATGACAATGATTGTCCTGCTGGCACATTCTTTTCTGAAGATTTTTTATTTCTTTTTTCGTTTCTATTAAACGAAACAACATAAAAATTCAGCAGCAGATAATCATTATAATTACACAATACATCTATATTTCGATTAAAATGTATTATAATATAGATATTGCATAATATACAGTTTAGTTATATAGTATTTGTTACATTACATAGTACAGTAGAACTCCAATTATCCGAACGCCAATCATCCGGACGTCCAATTAACCGGACGAGAAAAATACGGCACGTGCCGTTATTCATACACGTGTTTCATAATCGTTTTTAGATTAGATAAAGAATAGGTACTACATATATATTATTCTTAATAATATCCGTCATTCCAACGTAGGTATATTAAAAATTATCGATAATAAAATACAGTTACATATAACATTTTACAATATTGCCACACATACATAGATATTATTCTTAGTAAGTCAGTTGTTGTATAATCGTCGCACGGTATAGTACATAAATAGTGAATTGTCGTGTTACAATGTACAGAAAACAGAAAACGTGTAGTGCTTACTATGAAAGAAAAAATAGATATCATTGCGCGGTTGAAAAAAGGCGAAACAGGCCGAGCATTGGCCGAAAAGTATGGTGTTGGAACATCCACTATTTCAGATATAAAAAAAAATGCGGACTCTATCACCAGGTACGTGAATAATCTCGATGATGCAAACGGTTCTTTAACACGTAAAACAATGAAAAAAACCTAAAACAGAATTATTAGAAGATGCTGTGTTTACTTGGTTTATGCAAAATAGAGCATCTGGACTGCCTATATCAGGTCCTTTATTGTGTGAAAAAGCATTATATTTTAATAAAAAACTTGGAGGGGATTCATCATTTGTGGCAAGTAGTGGATGGATGAGAAACTTTAAATCACGCCATGGGATTCGACAAATTGAGATTCATGGAGAAAAGTTGAGTGCAAATATCACTGCAGCAGAATCGTTTTCTCATAATGTCCAGAAATACATCAAAGAAAACAAATTTGACAAGGATTTCATCTACAATGCAGATGAAACGGGCATTAACTGGGAAAGCTTTACCATCGAAGTCCTTGGTGTCTCAACGTGAGGCAGCAGCTCCAGGATACAAATTAAGTAAAGACCGAGTAACAGTTATGGTATGCGCAAATGCTACCGGTACTCATAAAATTCCGTTACTTTTGATTGGAAAGTCTAAAAATCCACGTTGCTTTAAAAATGTGAAAATTCCATTGACGTACAAAAGTCAAAAAAATGCATGGATGAACGCCGATTTGTTCGTAGAATGGTTTCAACACACATTTGTTCCTGAAGTGAAACAATTTCAGCAAAATATAGGAAAAGAAGCAAAGTTTTACTTTTGTTAGATAACGCTCCATCCCACCCTTCAACAGAAACTTTAAATGCCATAAATGATAAATTTGAAGTAAAATTTTTTCCTCCCAATGTTACTTCTCTGATTCAACCTATGGACCAGAGTGTTATAGAAACATTGAAAAGACTGTACAGAAAAGAATTAATGCGTCGCTTACTATTAGATGACCAAAAGTTCACGTATTTAGCGATTGTGATGAAGAGAATAGTGAGTGGTTGCTTATGGATACAAATGATCCTGGATATCAAATACTTTCGGATGATGAAATAGTTCGTAACTTATTTGAAGAAGATGAAACTGAAGAAGAGGAAAATGAAACTGACGATTTGACTGAAGGTGAAAATGGGCCGTCTCATTCTGAAGCTTTTGATGCATTCGATTTGGCGTTTAAATGGTTTGAGAGACAAGAAGAATCAAACACCACTCAATTGTTGCAATTAAGAAGATTGAGAGACCTAGCTGCTCTAAAGAGAAAGTCAACTATGAAGCAAACTAAAATATCATCATTTTTCAAAATAAAATAAATTATGTGCCAAGTCAGCTTTTTTTTTGGTTTTAAATTATGTCACGTATGTACTTTAATTAAAGCTTATTTTGTTTCAGTTGAATATCTAATAAAATTACATATTTGTTTATGGTTACGTGTGTATATAACTTTTGATATATCATATGTCAATCATCCGGATATTTGCTTATCCGGACCACCCTTGACATTAATTAGTCCGGATAATCGGAGTTCTACTGTATTTGTATTCAGTCTAGTTAATTTTTAGTATTTGTTCACAATATAAATATATACACATATCATTGTTTCCTTCTGCCCTGGCCAGAATTTAAAAAGTTATCAAGATTATCGGTACTTATACTTATATATAAGTCTGTTGCTCCAAAAGCTATGGCTATTATATAGTATTATGGTTCTCAATATAAGCACGAAGCAACAGATATTGATATTGGTTTTTAATAATGTGATTAAAAAGACTTGATGTATTCAATGCTATATATAAAATGTTTTTTACTCAACAAATCAATTGTTTTACTCTCAAACTAATAAATTCAAATCTTATATTGAAAAAATAAATAATATCACTAATGTATAAATTTAAGTGTATATTTTAGTATCAACTATATGAATTAATAAATGCATTTATGTATCAACGTGTAAGCTAATCCAATAAACATTTAAAGAAATTATAAGAAACTATTACCTAAATAATTGAATTAAAACTGATGTCCATTAGTTAGGTAAGTTAAAAAAATAATAGAACTGACACATTCTCAGTATTTCTATAATACTATAATAGAGGTATACTTGACTTATACATTATTTCCATAAAATGGAAATTTGAAATTTGTATATAGAGTATAGACACAAAAAACAAATTTCAGAAATAAATATGAACGATTGTTGATGTTGTGTTATAAATATTGAAAATAAAATGCCTAACAGTATACTCTATATATTATACATAATAACAAACATGCCTAAGTTCTGGTAGGTGCTTGTGCAAAACCAATTCATTACACTTGCAATGACAACCAGCTTATAATTTTCAGAATTAGGAAACTTTTTACCAACACAGCCCGTAACAATAATTACACAAATGATGCATACTTAAATAGTATAATCTTATATATAAAAATGAATCGCAAAATGTGTTGGTAATCTCATAACTCAACAACGCCTGGACCGATTTGGCTGAAATTTTTTTTTAACTGTTCTGAATTGCCAGGAGAAGGTTTTTATGAACGAACATTTTTAAAAAGTCTACCGAATAAGTAGAAAAAGTGCAAAAAATATTTATTGATGTCTGTGATTTGAACCCGATACCGTTAAAATATAAAAAATAAATTAAAACTATAATATTTTTTTGCTGCCATGGAAATGTTATAGACAATATTTATTCAATTTAATTGTTTGAATAAAATATAAAAAAAAATTACAGGGAAGACCTTAAACAAATTTGTATTAAAAAAAAATAATAATTTAATTTTGATATGCCTCCTAACGACGAAGCAATTTAGGTAGAATAACCCGAAATGCTACCAACCAAGCTAATTACCGATCTAACCAAAGTCCACAAGAACGTGACGACAGAAATGAACGTGAAAGAATTCGGATATCACAAACGCGTGAAGTGCGAACGCGAAATTCAACTAATAATCGCGCAAACTTGAATCGAGCTGCTTTTAGTTACGATATGTCAATTGACTACACTAACTACCAGTGTGTTGTTATTGGTTCTATGAACTCAGTTTGCTCATATTGTAAGGCTTTGAAATACAAAAACGAGGCCAATGGTCTTGTGTTGCACAAATGGTAAAGTGAAATTGATACCATTGGATCCACCACCAGAGCCGTTGTACTCATTGGTTTCAGGAATAGGAACAGATTCTATACACTTTTTGACAAATATCCAACAATATAACAATTGCTTTCAAATGACTTCATTTGGGGCAACAAATGTAGTTCGTGAAAGTTTTATGCCAACTTTCAAGGTATGTATTATAGCAGTTAATCATAATTATTTGTTGATCATTTTTATATTATAGATTCAGTTTTAGTGACACCTTAATTATTTTGAAACACAATATAATTATTTGATGATTTAAATATTCATCGGTTTTAAATTTTTTATTCGATTCGTCTCGAAATGTACATTAAATTGTATTTATTCAATTTTGTTACAACTAAATTTTACATAATCATATTAAATATCATTTTGTCATTCAAATTAGGAGACAGATATAATTTTTAAGAACAAATATTATTTAAGTTTGAACACTGACAATCCATAAATTTATATAACATAGTTGCTTATTTATTTTATTTTATTTTATAGTGTTTGGTACAAACATAATATTTTTTTTTAATTTACAGATGCAAGGACAAATATATCATAGATCAGGTTCACTATTACCAGTGTCAGATAGCAACTTCAAATTCTTACAAATTTATTTTATGGGCAATTCAACACAAGAAATTGATATGCGTTGTGCAAACAACAATTTAGTAAAGAGGTATATTGTAGAACAATTACAAACTTTATTTCATGAACACAATCAATTGATTATATTGTTTAAAACTGCACTGGATATGATGCCATCTGATAATTACAAAATTGTAATCAAAGCTGATAAAACACCTGCGGGTCAACATGCAAGACGTTTTAATGCACCAACCATTGATGAAGTTGCTGTCGTTGTAGTTGGAGAAAACTTGGAATCCCGTGATATTGTTTTACATCGTCGGAATGATCGATTACAACGTATAAATGAAACACACCGCTCATATAATGCACTACAATATCCTATTATATTTTGGCAAGGTGAAGATGGCTATGATTTCTCAATAAAAATGATAAATCCAATTACAGGTAATTAAAATATTAGTTTAGCGATGGCGGTAATATATCAGTAACCATATTATGTATTTTAATTTTATATTTAAATGTTATAAAAACAAAATATATTTACAGGTTCTGAAACAAACAAAAAAGTCAGTTCAATGAACTATTATTCATACCGCCTAATGATTCGGGAAAATGAAGACAATCACATATTGAAATGTCGGCGATTATATCATAAATATGTTGTTGACATGTATGTTAAAATTGAAACGGAGAGATTAACATTCATCAGGTTGAATCAGACCAAACTCCGATCTGAAGAGTATATTCACCTTCGAGATTCGATTAATACCGATGGAAATGCACAGAATGTTGGTCGGATGATTATTCTTCCAGCAACATACATCGGAAGCCCTAGACATATGCACGAATATGCTCAAGATGCCATGTCGTATGTTCGTCATTATGGTACAGCAGATTTGTTCATCACATTTACATGCAATCCGCAACGGATAGAAATCAAGAAGGAGTTATTCCCTGGGCAATCACCCATTGATCGTCATGACATTACAGCCAGAGTCTTTAGACAAAAGTTGAAATCTTTAATGGATTTCATCGTGAAACATTATGTGTTTGGTGAGACACGCTGCTGGATGTATTCTGTGGAGTGGCAGAAATGAGGGTTGCCACATGCACACATTTTGATTTGGTTGGTTGAAAAGATAAGGCCAAATGAAGTTGATGCAGTGATATCAGCTGAAATACCTAATGTGCAATTTGATCCTGAATTGCATGAGGTTGTTATCAAAAACATGATACATGGTCCATGTGGTACTCTTAATCAAAATTCACCGTGTATGATGGATGGTAAATGTTCAAAACTATATCCAAGGACGTTAATATCAGAAACAATTACTGGCAATGATGGTTATCCACTGTATCGTCGCCGATCAAGAGTAGACAATGGAAGAACAATAATTGGCAAATTAAATCAACAAGATATTGAAATAGATAATCGTTGGATTGTTCCATATTCACCAATTTTATTAAAGACGTTCAAAGCACACATAAACGTTGAATCTTGCCATTCAGTGAAATCTATTAAATACATTTGCAAATATGTAACCAAAGGGAGTGATATGGCTGTGATTGGAATTGGTGCAGAGAATTGCAATGATGAAGTTACCCAATACCAAATGGGCCGCTATGTTAGTAGTAATGAAGCAGTTTGGCGAATATTTTCTTTTCCCATTCATGAGAGACACCCTTCAGTTGTTCATTTAGCTGTGCATTTAGAAAATGGACAAAGAGTGTATTTTACACCACAGAACGCAGTACAAAGAGAGGCTCAGCCACCTTCTACTACATTAACCAGTTTCTTTGAGACATGCCAAAACGATGATTTTGCACAAACATTGTTATATTCTGAAATGCCAAAATATTATACTTGGAATAAATCCTCAAGGAAATTTATACGACGGAAACAAGGAAAACCAATTCAAGAATACCCAGATGTATATTCCACCGATGTGATTGGTCGAATTTATTCAGTACATCCCAGCAATGATGAATGTTTTTATTTACGACTGCTATTAGTCAATGTACGTGGCCCAACATCATTCCAACATTTACGAACTGTTGATGGTGAATTGTGTGGATCCTACAGAGAAACCTGTCAACGTTTGCAATTGCTAGAAAATGACGATCATTGGGATCAAACTCTAAATGATGCTGTAATATCATCAAGTGCTCAACAAATACGAACATTGTTTTCTATAATCATATGTACATGCTACCCATCAAAGCCAATCGATTTGTGGATCAAGTACAAGGATCATATGTGTGATGATATTTTGTATCAAATACGGAATAGAATGGGAAATCTAAATATACAAATCAATGAAGAAATTTTTAACGAAGCATTGATTTCAATTGAGGACATGTGCTTGATGATGTCAAACAAACTATTAATTCAATTAGGCCTGATCGCGCCCAATCGTCCAATGCATGATGTTTTTAACAAAGAGGTTTACCGAGAAAAAACGTATGATCTCAACACTTTGAAAGAATTAATTCAAAAAAATCTTCCACTGTTGAATGAACAACAGAAGTATGTATTTGATACTCTTATGAAAGTAACAAATGATGATACTGGAGGGATATATTTCTTGGAT